TCTAATAAAATTATCAATCGATTAATCGATTAATCAATCAACTAATCGATTAATCGATTTTCGATTTGGAACACTACTTTCTATAAATTTAGTATTTCTAATACTAGCCAAATTTAATCTCAAAGTTGACCTGCATTAACATATATATTTGTAACTTACATGAAGCTATATAACTTATGATGTAACTTACAACGTAAATTATATTGTCAGGTAAGTTATCCCAACCCTGTTTGTACTTGAGTAAATTATTTTATTTTTTGATTTATTGTTTAGGAATATAACAAAAATCAGATGATTTTTTAAAGAGAAGAAGGTAAAAAAGTTAAAATTATATATATAAGAATCTAATTTTTTATACAGTATATTAAAAGAGGAGAAGAGAAAGTAACTCTCTGATAAAAAATAATTAGATGATAAATGATATTACCCTTAGTATTTTTATTTTAGTTTAGTTTTTATTCTATTTTTCTTGTTAAACACATTTCTTAACCACTCTTATATGTTAAGTCAAGTAATATTTAACAATAACACATTTTATTGAAATATTTATAATTTGGTTAAGCCAAAAAAACATATTACAATATTCAAAATATAATAAAATTGAATAATTAATTGTCTTTTGAGTTACTTGTTTATTAATATTTAATATAGTGATGCTGCGCGAAGTGGTTATATTATTCTAATAGATCACAAATTTAATTTTTTTATTATGGTGCTCCAAGTCACTTGTCATCAAATGCGCCAAATTTACAAAGTATTAATATACATATGTTATTAAGGCGCCAATTTTATTCTAACTTTCATAAATTATATATTATATGCCAATTTTATGTAGATCTCTATAATAAATCAGGGCGCCAATTTTATAGGTAATTTGATGAGAAGTGACTTGGAGCACCATAGCAACAATACCGTAGTAAAAGCCGGGATCGAACCCCTGGTTCGAGTTGTGTAACAAAAGTAGCATTCCAAACTACGTTATACGTTTACATAAAAAGATCAGATAACAAAAAAATATGTATTGTCGATTGTAAATTTTTCTTTCGACAACACATTACTTAGTGGGAATATTTTATTAAACAACCGTAATTCACAGAAGTAATATCTAGTATCATATTTTATCATTTTATTACGAATTCCATATCGTGTTGTCCTTTGAAGAAATTGTATTTCTAAATTGATAAATCGCTATTTCCTTCGAAAACGATTGTATTATGGATGATTGGGGTGATCAACGTTTAATAACTGCTTGGACATTTCTGTTATTATATTCACATTATAACCTTCTACTTATCGAAAATCTGTAGAAGGTGATTCTGATGAAATACCCGCTCCAATTACGTTTCCCGTAAAAAAAAATTGGGCCAATGAAGATGTCGATGAAGATCAAATCAAGGTAATGATAATTGAATGTCGCGACTAAACTTCCTTACTGATAGAATTGATATCTTACATTTTATATATAGGCTGCTTGGGATATAGATTCATCTGAAGATGAAGATAAGACAAAGCCACCAAAAGAAGAGACGCCTAAAAAGAAAAAGGCTACTATTGCACAAAAAATTGCGGAGAAAGAATTGAAAAGAAAGCAAGCAGCAGAGGAAAAAGAAAGAAGGGTATTTACTTTAAAATCATTAAAATTCTGATTACAAACCTAATAATTTATTCCTACATTGGTTAACAATACGTTGTTATGTAGAAACAGGATTATAGTGAAGAGGATAGTGAATTAGATCCTTTAGAAAAAAAACAAATGGAAGCTAAAGCGGTTATTGAGGCTGACCTTGAAAACGCAGAAGGAATGTTTAAGGGTGTCACAATTAGAGGTATAAAAATTTATTAGCATTAACTATGCAATATTTGAGCTGTTATAATTAAAATATGTAAGTTACATAAGTTACGTCAGTTAGAATTTAACCTACTGTCAGTTTAAATAACTTACATAAATTATGCAACCCTGAGTACAAATCAAAAAAATATCAAAAAAACAATAATTTTACTAAATAATAATAGTTTTTACTAAAACAAAAAGCAAAATAAAAACGATCCTCTGGACAACACAACAAAAAATCAAACTACAGAAAAACAATATAGAAAGTCTCAAGATATATACTACTTTCAGTCCTGTTTTTGAATAAGCAGTTGTTAATGAAACCTATAGATGTGAAATACCAAGAAGCGAGTGTAACTTGGGTAGTTTTTTTTGAGGTCAAGCTTTTGTAATGCAGTAGACTCCTCAAGATATTTGGCATTCAAACCAGAAGGGTATTCTGAAAACTGAACTTATCTCTAAACAGGTTGTTGTTAACAAAACTTGAAAGATGTGAAACACCAAGGAGTGGTGTAATTTAAGTGGTTTTTCTTGAGATCAAACTTTCTTCTTGGTGGACTCTCTAGGATATTCAGTATCTAAACTAGAAGGTTTATTTTAGAAGCAAATAGTGGTACAACCCTCGCTAAGATAGTATAATCTTGTAAAACTAACTATACAACCATAAAACCTACAGAAGAACCTCATATACCTTCGTTGTCTCTCTACTATTTTTCTGGAGAAATTTTGTAAAAAGTGGGTAATCTAGCTTATCCTTTCAAAAGATCGATGTATTGTTTACTTTCCAAATCAGGCAGTATTGTTTACTTCTTTTACCTGACACAACAAACACATAGATACATATCACAGGTCGAATAAATCTATACTGGTGAAATATCGGAAAGCCGATATTAAACGAAAGTTATACAATAGTTTAACGATATTATATCGATATTTAAAACTGA